GCTTTTTATCACTTTTTACGATTATTTTCTGGTCGGAGGGGATAAGCATAGTTTTCGTTCATTTTTACAAATGTTTAAAAGCAATCTCATCATTTTGTTTCATCCGAATTGTCTTTATTTATAAATGCCACGTCACGATTCAATATGGCTATGGTGACTACTCAGGAGTCTTAAGCAGAAACTTTGCTTAAATAGGAATTTAGACAAGAGAAATAATATTTAAAACTGAATTTTGTGATTGTTTAAATTGTGATTGTTTCAATGATGTGAATCAACCCTGGATATATCGATATATTCGAATTTTCGATGGTATTGTTTCACATTTCCTAATTGTCACGGTCAGAACATCGACGCTAAAGTATTTAAAGTGCACTTAGCATTTCTAATTGAATGATAGCGTTTATATGTTGATGAATGACGTTCACTCGATATCGCGATGACTGATCCAAACGCAAATGCGGGTCGCGAAAAACATTCGCCGCGAAAAAATATTATGCAACACTGACGATAATTAGCGACTTTTTGCCACTATTTCCTGCAGAAGGATGTGGGTTGTAAGGCATTGCGCCGCAAAATAGATCGTAAGACATTAGCGTGCGCACCGATAACACACTTGCAGCTTTTTGTTTTACATTTTGTTATTGTTCACAGCTGCCTGACGTAATTTTTAAATAATAATTCTTTTCTTGCTTTATAAGAGAAAGAGAAAGAAGAAGGCATTTTTCTCTCTATGATTTTCTTTTGTCATTTATGATTAATATATTCTTTAGATTATAAATAAAAAGGCTTAAGGCGGTAATCAAAGCGACGCTTTCCCACATCTATTTGTATCATTTGTACATATGCGTTCTTACGAGAGGTAATCTCGATCAGCGTTCAATGCGTACTTTTACGAGAGATATCCATCTTGCCTACGAGAGGAGAGAGTTGGAGTGCTCGAGCACGATGGACGATGAAGTCCCGACGTAGGCAAGTCGCGGCGCAATACGCGAACACAATGTTGCTGCAGACACGTGCAGCAACCTTTGATATTCACCGGCCGTGCGCGAGCAACCGGGCTCCACCTAAACAAGAGAAAGAGAGCCGTATCTCTTTGAGATACACGGCGCATTTTCCGTGCTTGACTTTCTCTCTTTCTCCATCCCTCCGTCTCTTTCTCTCGCTCTTTCTTTTTCATTCTCATTCTTCCTTTTCGCGAAATGCACGTCAACCGCGGGACGTAAAATATTTCAGAGGCGGTTAAAGGCTGCGGTGGGAAACCTCACAGAACGCTCGCGGTATGCGAAGCGGATTGGAGAAAGAAGCTACGCGTTGCGTCAAGTTCTTGGGTGTGACGAGCACGATGAATAATTGCCGATTCATCAATGGCTTCACGCGTATTTGAGATCTATCCGTCTGTTAAATCGCGATAGTGTCGAATTACGGATTTGCGCGAGATGCGGCAATGCGATGATAAGTAATAAGAAATGAATCTCGAGAAAAACTCATCAGGATGGCAAACAAGTAAATAGTTATTACAATTCACAAAATGTTCTAATAATTCATTCGTTTAGCAACCGTAGTTTAGTTTGTTGTTAGCATCATATAGCGCATTCCCGCCTCTGTTAGCTGAAATATTTAATTTCCATTAAAAGCAAATTATTCGATACACTTTCAATATGTCACACACAAAATGTGATTTTCGCATCGTATATTAGAACTCGCTACGTATAATGGGTTATTAAGTTTTTACCTTTCTATTCATCCGTGTTACATTCCTTTTCTTACTCCATGCGAAATGAAAGTCTTCTTATGCTCGTTTCTATCAATGTAAATTAACTTTAATCTCGGTTCAACTTACTCTTCATCTTTTTCTAATTCTTAGAACTTGAAAAAATGAAGCATTAGTTGAACCGAGATTAAACTACATTGAAAGAAACGGACATTAAGTCTAAGTTTTTCATTTTTTGATGAACTTATAGTTTAGACTTAATTTTACTTAACCTAATGATAATATGTAAAATGTATGTTTTTTAATTATAATTACCAAACTGATAGTTTCATAGTGGCAATTTCAAAAGTTCTCTACACTACAAAACCATTCAGTGATTAACAATAGAAAAATATAATTTTTACATTACCATTAGATTAAGTCTAACCATCAGAAAATGAAAACCTGAGCCTTATTACAATAATTTAAATCATAATCATCGTGTACTGCGACTTTCGGACGAATTCGAAAATATTATGAACAATACGTTCGAGGATTAGAGGTACGTGGAACGCTTAGCAATTAACGGGGTAGTTCACAGAGCATTAATAATTCACGCGATTCATGAATTAGTTAATATCGATTAACGGCATACGCACGTAAATACGTAGTGTAAATGTAACATTGCCGTACGTTTGTGATGGTTTTCTCCTCTTTTTTTTTTTCTTCTTCGCTCGACGGCGCGGCGACGCGTCGCGAGACGTCCTGCACTTGCATTCCCGTCGGACGTCACGCGTCCACTTGGTAATAAAGCGCGGCGAATTGGGTCGCTTGATACGGCACCCGGCAGCAGTCAATAAAGGGAGATTCCACGGGATTTATTGTACGCTCAAACGTCGATGCACACTGCACCTAGACGCGCACTGTACGCGCCGCGACCGAGTCAGGTACACCGAGAACAATTAGGCTAACAATGACTCTTAAGCGGCGTCCGGGTCACGGCTTCCCGGCGTTGTGCCTCCTATTTCTACATGTTTTACGAGTAGTACGTACTTTTTATGGTCGATTGCGCGATAATAACATTGCTGAATGAGAAATTCAAGTTAAAAAAAAATTGCGATTAATACGTGTGCACTGTTTTACATTTCGTTCTCTTGTTTCCTTTTTTTTTTCCAGATACACTTTAACGTTTGTAAACTAGTGATTGTGTGAACAGTTAATAGTGTTGAAATTTCAGTAGCAATTGTGGAGTAGACATTAAATTAAATTAATAGACTATGAGTTTAAAATCAGAGTCATAAGTATTAAAAAAATGTATTTTTTACAGTTAAATAAACACATAACACATGCGATATCAAAAGTAAATTGCAGTAGTAATAAAGGTGAGCATATGAATAAAAAAATTAGAAGAGGATTTCGACATTTTTATATTCGCAAAATAATACTTTAACTCTTGCACTTTTCAATCTCAACGCCTTTGATTGATACTGTTAATGGCTGTTGATTACAAAGTATCGGAAGGCAGGTCGATAAGTATCGCCCTACCGAATTGCTAATAAGCGACCGATTTCGTGATCTCTCCGACGATCTGCCATCCGCGTTTAACTTGTTTATTGTTGGTGTAACGACGACGGGATGAGGAAGGGGGATCGATTGAGACGTCCGCTCCTCGGAACACGCCAGCCCTAAGGGCTCCAGCTAATTGCTATAATTAATTGCGTGATTGCTATAGTTAGATCGATCCGGATTGCCAGTTAGAAGAGTGTAGCTTCTGCTACTATAATGATACAGTCACAAAGATACCTATATTGGTTTGACGATTGTTCCGGCTCGATTGAGAAACGCGTCAACCGGAAAAGTTGCAAAATCTGACCAATTCTTCCTATCCTTTCTATTCTTTTTATTATTTCTTATCCTATAGTAATTCTATAATTTCAATATTTTTTATATATACAGTTATATTTTTAATAATTATATAATTTTATTAATTTTTATTTGGAATTTCACTAATTTTTATTTTACAGACATGAATAGACATAAATATTAATATTCTACAATTCAATATTTTTATAATTTTCAAAATTTATCTATGATTTCTTTATTAGTTTAATTTTGTTAATTAATATTTATAATTCTACAATATGTTCCCTCAGTTTATCATATAATTTTGCAATTTTTTTGAAAGACTATTTTTGACAATTATGACAGCACTAGTATGATTAGTTGTCAATGACGCAACGACGAAGTAGAAGAATGTTTAAGAGATCGATAAAGCGTCTGAAAAAAGCAAGGCGCTTAACGATTCGGCGAGGAGGAAAAAAAAAATCGGGTGGAGCGGCGGTGCGTTTTTACGACACGGTAGGGCCTCGGCTTTTTATGCCGGATCGGAACATTAAACCGCCATCTCTTTAAAAGCACTGTATTTCTTTCATCGACATTTGCGGTCCGACTGAGTTACAAACAGAACTTGTAACTTTCACATTCTATGAGTTCTCTACAGTCAACTCGGGCAATCGAAGGCGTTTATTGAGCGCGGCGTGCGCCAACTCTTCCTGCAGTCGTCAAATAATTTCGGTGTACAACACTTTGGAGTTTCTTGCAGAGTAAATTGCAGATTAAAAAAGATCGCGCCTCGTTATTTTCCGTGAGAGATCTGTTATCGAGCTGAGAAATATGATCCATGGCACCTTTGGGAAAAATCATCGACAGCCGCGTCGTACGTGTGATAATAACACGTTGCGTGACGATACTTGTGGTTTAATGATTAGGGGTTCGCGTTAACGCGCCACAACGAAATTACAACGTCACGGGATAGAGCATGTCTTCGCGAAAAAGAAAGAAAGTGCGAAAAATCGCAAAATCGGAGGACTTATGATTAACTTCCCTCAGTATCTTTTATGTTTAATACTAACCTTTCTTAACAATCTCGCTAGGCATCCTCGCTGAAACTTCGACAAGGTCTGATAAAAAATTGGAAAATTAAATAGGATTATCTGTAGTCTAGCTATAGTTTAGAAATACGGAAATTTTCCTCCCCCGCGGAAATTCCGCCGCGTGACGTAAACTCACAGCTGACACTGGACAAAGGATATTTTAGTCCCATGAATTTAATTTGTAATTCAATATAGAATCGTGTTAATATCACTTTTTATATTTAAATTTTAAGAGAATCAAGATACATTTTTTCTAATAGAGATTTATATCTCTTTATGGCGCAGGAATAAGCTCTTCGACACTTCGGACACCCACGCGCTCATTATCCGTCCTTTCATCAGTACACCAGCAATAAATCTGTATTATGCCCTTCTAGGCGATACGGCACCAAGTGCGGCGGTTGCCTCCAAGGGATAAACCCGCAGGACCTTGTGAGGAAAGCGAGGGACAAAGTTTTCCACCTGAATTGCTTCACCTGCCTGGTGTGTCGGAAGCAGATGAGCACGGGCGAGGAGCTCTACGTCTTGGACGACAACAAGTTCGTTTGCAAGCAAGACTACCTGTCGGGCAAACCGCTGCCGGACACGCATCACGTGCACGGTCATCACGGTGAGCCAAAACTACCCTCCCTTTCGTTATTATCTTCAGTCATCTATTATAATATAACAATATTATCTTGACACAATCATATTATCTCACTTATTTATACATGTTTAAATCCTGCGACAAAAAAAGCGATGAAACGAAGTTAATTTTTGCATAATAAATTCGCGTGTAATTCGTGCAGGAAATTAAATTGCAGCTACGCCAAATAATTCGATTCTTCTATTATCCATGGTGAAGTTAATAAATAATTCTACGATCGAAATAGCAAACAGAATCGAGAAAGTAAAGTTAGTCCACGAAGAGGAGGCACTTTGGAGTATCACAGTTTGTCTGTGTACACTGTCCGCTCCGTTTACAGATCGATTCGTCGTGGGATTTAAATTTAAACGATATCCTGAGAATCCACGTGATCTCAGTGTTTGTCTTATCTGTTACGAATCGATATCGTGACTAATCTCGCATTGTTTTTAATCGTTGATATTTGATAATATGATCGTGATATTTTAAAAATATTCAGCTTTTATGTATACGTATAAAGTTTCATACATTTAATTTATTTTTTTAAGTTGAATGTAAGGGAGACGAGGGCAAGTTGTTACAATTTTTTCCGTTTTCTAATGTATATATTTAAATTAATGAATACCTATAATATGCATTGCTTCAAGTATATCTTTATCTAGATAATCAATTTTTTTCTGATTTGTATCTATGTCTTTACTAATACTAAAATTAAGATTTTCTATCAGTAGGTAAATTGTAATAATTTATCTCACTGTGGAGCAAATTGTTACATTTACAATATCACTTGAAATATATATAAGCAAATTCAAGATTACAATAAAATCAAACACAAAATATTTTACAAGGAATATTTATTTTATAATATTAAAATTAAAAAAATATATTATAAAAATTTTTTTTAATTAGTTATTAAAGTTAACGTTGGAAAGTCATAAAATTAATATTACATTTGGTGCTTTTCACACAGACAGGTGGTCTTTAACTTTCTTTGCTGCTGTTGCATACGTTTTTACATTTGCAGATTCTCTGTTTGTTTTTTTTTTATTTGATTCCCAGCTGTCCTTGTTTCAGTTCACATATGTATGCGTCCTATGTTTGTGAAAATTGCATAAATTTATGTGAAAACACTAACTAACGTCATTATCTGTGTAATTTATACATATGAGAGTGAATGAACACAAATATGGCGCTGCTCAGCGCTGTTTTTAAACATGGAGACGAAGTTGGCAGTCTATTTATAGATCTGTGCGTCATTCTATAGAAAAAAAAAATTGTTTTCAATAGGGTAAGTTGTTGCACTGTAACAATCTGTCCCGATCCAAGATAACAATTTGCCCCAACCTTTCCATTTTCAATTTAAAAAAATACAGATCGAAAATCAGTATCATATATCGATTCAAACAAAATGTGTTATTATAATCAAATGTATATAAAAGAAATATACATATATCTGTAACTTATATATAAATAACACAAACGATTTATACAATTAAATATTTACTTTTAATAGTGAAAACCAAGAAAATATATGTAGCGTCTTCTAGAGTTGAAATACGGTGACTAAACTGAAGTTGTAGAGTATCGTAAGAATCACATATCTCATAAAAGAATCAAAATTCATAAAAATGTACATATTGCCATCTGTGTGTGTGTGTGTATGTGTGTGTGGTAACTAAAAAATTAATTGTAACAACTTATTCCATGTAACGACTTGTCCCGGTCTCCCCTACATGTTATACATACGTACTAACATAACGTTTTTTTATATCAGATATAGATATTATCGGGTATGGATATTTATTGATATCGATGTTTAACAAACCGAACGTAATATGAAATTTTCACTCTTCATCCGCGATCTGAATATTCGAATTTTAGTGTAGATTTTTATATTTTTCCGGACTGAATAAAAATTTAAAAAATTTTAAAAACTTCTTACTTGTGAAAATTTAACAATAAGTTTCCCATAACGGAAATCTTTTTCGAATTGTATTTTATTAATTTTTTATAGATTTAAATTTATTAATCAGAATACATAAAAAATCGACCACGCCTTTCAAGTCTAACATCGTCGGCGGAGGACTAATAATATCAAAAAGCATTAATTGATATTATAAAATCGTAAAAAGATAAGTTGAAGACTTAGATTCCGCGCACAATGGAGGAAATATTAAAGAAATAAAAATAAGTATTAACATTTTAACCTATCAGAAATTAGTTATACCGGAATACAATGTTTCTGATGTATTCATTCCTATTCCTGATATTTCCCACATAGTATTTATTCATAATAATCACATTATGATTACTCTGGAGATGTGAAAATTATCCGAAAGAAAAATTTTCTCTCTTAACAAAGTCTCTTTTTTTATTAATAAAATACAATCAATTTAAAAAAGCGAATATTTTAGAACCGTGTTAAAGACTGCATAATTAAAGTTTCGGTCTTCAGCGGCACGGCCTAAATACGTCGTGCGAGCTGTTACGCCGCGATTTCGACGTGGCACGTGGCTGTCAGCGGCACGCGGCGATCGATCGCGGCTCGAAAATTCGCGCGAAATCGCGTTTGGCACACGCTCGACTCGGTGTGCAAACAAAGTCAACGCACAATCGCCTTCCATTATATCGATCTCCGCACCGCTGTCACCGGAACGCGGCGCCGCTGTCCAAAGAGGGGTGTATTATCGCGACAGCTCTTCCTCATTCGACCCCCTGTCTTCTCTCGGGTCTCTCGTTCGATCTCGTGCGAGCGCGTTTTACGATCGCCTCCGTCGTTTCCGTTACCGCCGCCAATAAATAATTTTATCCGCCGCTCGCGAGAAAGAAAGGTCGTCATAAATTATCGCGCGGACCCGCCGCTTCGCCGACCCGAAGTCAAGAAGCAGCCCGTTCTGATCTTCGACGTTCTGTCGGAGTTTTATCGGAGAACCGGAAAGCCGATCTGCCGATGTTTCGATACCGATTGAAGCAGAAGGAATATCCGCGCGTTTTGCAGAATTACTTGGATAGGTTTCTCTAAAGCAAAATATGAAGAATTTCAGAGAGAATGGTTGCGTTCAACAGAAAAAGCAGCCTTGCATCTGTTATAAAGTTTTTTAATACGATTGATTTATACGTTTAGATCCAGTGAGGAATTATAAGAGCAAGAACCAATTATATTAAAGGATTTATAACAGTTGCAGAGCTACTTTGTTCTGTTGAACGCAGATCAATGATCAAAAGTCTCGACATATTTGTTATACACGGTACGTGTTAATATCATATAAATGCGAGGCATCGATATCCCTTTAAATTCGAGCATTTCTACAAAGACCGACGGGACCCATTTCTCGAGTGGCTCAGAATTTCGGGATTTATTTTTTCGAGCGACGAGGTCGAGGGGGTCACAGTTCAACGCGCACGCCGCCACGGATTTCACGGAGTCAGGATCAGCTTAAAAAAAAAAGGGTGGGACCGACGGGGCGAGAGGGGCGGAGAGGGCAGGTTTTTCACGGGAGTTTCTACCCCGAATGAGAGAGAGAGAGCGGCAAGCTGTGAAAACAGCGTGGCGCGTATGCCACCGTGAACCACCGGCTGAGAAAGGAGATAGAGAGAAATGAAAACGATGGCACGAGAGAGACGGCAAGACCAGGCTCGGTTTCACGAGGGCCCCACTCGTATATAAGCCGTGAAACGAAAACCGAAAGGTCGTTAGGCAGGGGGCGAACCTTTTGTCGTTCCGTTGCCGACGTTGCCGAAACCGCAAAACGCACCGACAACCCGTTTTCTTCTCTCTCTTTGCCCGGCCGCCTTTTTCTCCCAAGGATCTCGGAGACGGCCCGACGGACCCCGTTGTGTGTTCGCTCGCTGTACGTGAGACAATGTCGTGGGACAGCCGCTGAGCGCGGGAGAGCGCCGCGAAATGATTTACGCCTCAGCCGCGGCCGATTCGGCCCGCCGACTCGCTGTCGATGAGTTTCGCGTGAAGCATCATCGTCATCGCTGTCGACGTGTTGACATCACGAGGGATCCTGGAGCGCATACCTGCGGATGCAGGAACGAATACGTAAGCCGCGTCAAATGTCAACTCCGAGAAGCTGCCTTCGCGGAAGGATTCTGTGATTTTTTTCGGATCGGTTCCGACGTTTTACAGCCAGATTTCGCGGAAAAGGATTAGACAGCCAATAGGTAGAAATGAGAATACAGTAAAAATCGAAGCGAAAATAAAGTAACAAATAAATAAAAGTTATTTATATAAATAATAAAAGTAATGATATTGCTGAAAAATAACTGTAAAATAAAATGTTTTCTTAGCGTGATCTATGCAAATACATTTTTAAATAGATTTATATTTAGTCGAGTTGTATGCATTAGATTATTAGTATATAAATGTCTTTCGTATCTGTTTTACCATCTTTACGAACATCATCGATTATTTTTTTACCGCCGTCCTCAACTACTGATTATTGATAACTGGCGAGAACAATAGAGGCAGGTATGGAGCACTGCTCGAAATCTTCATCGCGTGGAGAACGAATTCGACGCGCAACTGGGGGCAGAATGTTGACGCGAGCCTTCAGGATGATTTCGGGCCGATGATTAAGCGACATGACCGTCTTGATGCCCGACACTTTTTCAACATTAATCTCTGCCATCCGCTCGGCCATTTGCCGGTTGTCGAATCCGCGGCCATCGTTCTCTCTCTCTCTCTCTCTCTCTCTCTCTCTCTCTCTCTCTTTCTCGGTGGCGAGAGACGAGAGCACGGTAATTATGCTCGTAGAGACGATTAATATCCGGAGACACCATTTTTTCGGCGGTTCCCGGTTCATAAAATATATTCCGTCGGGAGTATTTCGTGCGCAACGCCGCCATTAAATCTGGAAGGCAAAAGCCGACTTTCAAAGCGCTACTTGCCGCTCGCACGTACTTTACAATTGAGATAGCTGCAATTAAATTACGCCCGAAAAAATATATGTAATCGTTTGAATGCATTTCTTATAGTTTTCGAATACAGAGTATTAATTTATTGTGACGTTAAATATTATTATTACATTTTCTGTCGATAAAATGCAATTATTATCTCTTGATAAATCACAGAACAATTGCGTCAATATGCAAGTAATTCATTTTTAATCATAAATGTATGATATATAAATGTCAATATCGATCATAATATCGAAGGATAATCGATTCTTTTTTTTCATCTCAGATTTCTCATCGTCGGTGTGATCTTTCTTCTTAGCAAGCGACAATTTTAACAGAACATTAATTAAAAATTACTTAAATGAAATTACTTACTTGAATATTAATAATATCCATACCACGACAATTTGTAATTTATTCCTGCATGTTCGCTAAAAGTTCAACCGCTGATTTCGAACAATTTTGCAATTGCACAGAAGCGATAAAAAACAATTTTTCGATTAGCAAGTTAAATTTTTTTATCATCTTGCAAGAGTTTTTAATTGTTTTATATAGTATATGTAACTATATAAAAAAAATATATAATCAAAGACTTCATTATCATTAACAGGGTTGCAACTGAAAATCAGAGAAATCAGGGAAATGTCAAGGAAAAAATTGAAACTGGTCAGGAAAATTATGGAAAAATAATGGAATTTTTAACATGGAGGAATTTGTGACAACCCTGATGAAATCTGTTCGCGTTGCTTGCATTTTTTGCACTCAGTATCTTCGCTTTCTCTCTTCTCAACAAATATATTTTTGTCTCGTTTTAACTGCCAAATTTTTGAAAATTTTAAGCAACGTGAACAAACCTATCGTTCGAAGAATCTTGTTGATGTCAATTGAGGTATTACGCTTCTGTGCAAGCGAGCGAGCTGCGACGATACGCGAGTAGAAACTGTCGCAATCGTTATTTTCGAAATCGGCAGTTTGTTGGTCGATGTTATTAAAAAGGCCGGTGTCTCGCGTCGTTCACGAGCAGAACCGTCCAACCTGTCGGCAGGCGGAGACTCGCTGATGGGCCCCGGAACGGAAGAACAGGACGCGGACGGGGCCGTACGTGGTGCTCATCTCGGGACCCACAACATTGGCCCGGGTGGTCCTGGTGACCAGACCGTCGGCCACGGTGGCGAACTACCTCTCGGTAGCGATCCCTGCAAGCAGGAGGACTCCGAGGATCAAGGTAAGTCCTAACTTACTTCTTGAAGATAGGCAATAAGATACTTAAGCGGGAGCGACATGTTGCGTAATAAAGAGGTTTTCTCTCATGCAATTTTCTCTTGCAAAAAATATTATTTATGAGAATTATTTTGTGATGCACAAGTGTAAAAAATTAATCTTGTATTCAGTTAAATCGATTATTCTCATGAACCAGAAACCTTTTAGAGAAATACGATAAAGAAAGCCAAGATCGGTCAAAATTGGATATTTCAAAGAATACATTATATATTCTTGTATTAAATTCATTCATTTCAGATATGATTGCGAGCCGAAAAACTTTCAGTTTCAACACAATCATTCTGAAACGCTAATAATTCCCTCTAAATTAAAATAGAAAGAAGGAAAGTAAGAAACTTGTCGAGCTGGTTAAGACACTCTTCCTGGAAAGTTGAGAGATCTCAGGTTCGAATCCTGGCTGAGGTAATATTTTTCAATAAGTTTCTTACTTCCTTTCTTTCTATTCTAGGGGGGATTATTAGCGTTTCAGAATGATTGTGTTGAAACCGAAAATTTTTCGGCTCGCGCAATCATATCTGAAATAAATTAATTTAATATAAGAATACAATATAATATATTATTTGAAACATCCAACTTTGACCGATGTGGACTTTCTTTATCATATTTAATGTATTCACACATACGATCGTACTCAAAATTCCTAATGCTTTTAGAGAAAATTCTATTACTTTAATAAGTAAAATAAAATTCTATTAGTTTTTTAAAAAGAATAGATTCTTTTGATTAGCCGATAGGCGCTATAAATATTTCTTTGTGAATAGCTTGGAAAGTTCTCTTTAATCTCTTTAATCGTATTTATAAGCGATGTATGTAAGCGATAAAATATAAATATTGCAAAATGGAGATACATATTTTTACCATCTAGACAGTTTTACACAGCATTGAGTGCCTCTGAATAAAACAAGAAAACGTCTTTATTACGTCAAATGCAAAAGACGAAAGATAAATCTTGCAAAAAGAAAAGTAGTGAAGGATCGTAAACGAAAGTCAATATCGCGCAGCCAAGCGTAAAGGGCAAAGTGCATGCGTGAAATATCTAAGCTGTCATCTCGATTACAGTGATTAGACATTCCGTATGTATCACGTACACACGTGCACTTACATATTGCACTTGCAAACTGCAAGTAAACAAATTATAAGATCATATTCACACGCCGTAAGTTACTCGCGTAGTACGCGATCAAGAGCAATCGATTAGCAACTTGATCGGGCTACCCTCGAAACTACGCGTCACCATGTCACCCTTGGAGATTTTGCGAGTATGAATTCGTAGCATCGCGACGTCACAAATCGCTGAGGGCTTCGCCAGGAGTTGTCTCGCCAGGAGTCCATTATATCGCTCCTGCTCTTTTATCGCGTCACACAACAATCGGTCCTTTAGCCATCTACCAACTAGCTTCACCCTCGCACGAGTCTCATACAGCCACGCAATACAAGAGCCTCGTTGCCCCCGATCGGGGCGAAAGGGAGGGAACGGACGTCTTCACGAGGGGTGGCCCTCGTAGTGCGGTGTGACACTGTCCAAACATTTTCTTTGTCCCGCGGTTAAGACCTACCCGGTATACACGTATACGTATAATGTATAGATTACCGTGGAGAGCCAGGGACTTATGTACGTGTGTGTGTGTGTGTGCGTGTGCGTGTGCGTGTGCGTGTGCGTGTGCGTGTATGGTGGCACTATGAGATGTGCACGCGTATGTGCGGGGTACGGTTTTCAACGTGCGCGCGCGGCAGCAGCCACGATAATCCGATGGGGGTTTCGCATCGCTTCCGGGGGATTGGCTCCGATTGTTGTTACCTCGATCCGACCGATGAAGATACCGGGATACACGGGGTGTCCCAGACCTACCGCGTGGCCTCTCAGCTACGATTACCTCGACGAATCTACAGTCGATTATCCCTCCGCGCGCGTTTGTCGGGAAGGCATCGTCCGCGCTAAAGTCCTTGAAATATCCGTTGGCTTCCATTAATGTTGACAATATTTTTTAATTTAAATCAAATAGAAATTAAATGGATTATGAATTATGTGTTAGATAAAAGTTGTAAAAAAATGAATATCGTTGCATGTTGAAATTTGTTAAGATCTTTTAATATTAAAAACGCATACACATTAGTGAGACTGTTGTCTTTAATATTCGAGACACCCGTTAGTTGTGCGTGATAGGCTTCTGATCTTCTTGATCGACAATATGGTTTTTAAAAAATTTAACTTTAGCATTGCGGTACGAGAGATCGCAACTCGACGGGCGTCGCTTAGAAACTCCTGTAACGCAATGATGACTCGTGTCCCGAGGATGACGAGTCATTTCTGGGTTACCGACGAGTCACGCGTCAGCGGATACGCATAGTTCGGGATTAAGAAACTGACTATCTGTCGGCTCTATCGACGACTGAGTAATAATAAACGTAACACTGAAAATATTGTGTCAGCCTTATTTTTTTCAGAGATGCCGATACTTTTATAACTTGTCTCTATAAATCGTATGTGAATGACAGCCTCGTTTCTGTTAAAAATTGAGGGTTTGAGGATACAGAATTAAGGAATCATTATATTGATCTAAAAATAATGGTATCTTAATTTTTGAAATTTAGGTAATTTAGTAATTATCGGGCAATTTTTACTTTCGTTTTGCAAAATAAATCTATTATTCTATTTATATTAACGTAGGTAAAAACTATAATTTAGAAGAGAACAAATTGTTCTTTACGTATTTATTAATTCTGGCTGCTAATGCAACTCAACTCAGGAATTTCGAGAAACAAAAAGCGAACGAATCATCCTAGAAAAATCCATGTCCCTATCTTCTCGAGAATTAGGTTCTCTGCCATTGTATTTAAAGTGGGCAAACATGAAACTCACTATCGCGAAAGACACGAACTTCTCGTAACGGCTGATTTTGCTGGCAATCGTTTGCGAGTTTCGCGCGAGATAGGCCCCAGGTGATCGTCATACGATTGTGACGTGGCAGCTCGGCTTCGATCGGTTGAAGGTTCCCTGGACGGCGATCCCGAGACGAGGGACAGCCAGACGGAGAACAAGAGCCCGGACGGCGGCGCCGGCGGTGGCAGCGGCGACGGCGGCGCCGGTTCGAAGCGACGCGGCCCACGAACCACTATAAAGGCGAAACAATTGGAGATCTTGAAGACGGCCTTCTCGTCGACTCCAAAGCCCACTAGGCACATTAGGGAGCAATTGGCGAAAGAAACCGGCCTGCCCATGAGAGTCATACAGGTGAGAAAGGTGTCTCTCTCGTTACATTTGCGTTAAAATTTCTCTCGTTTCTCTATCATTATATCTACTTATTTTCTCTTTGTGAAACGTTTCTTTGTGAAATTGATCGTGCTATTATTTAACTAAATACTTTGATAACTAAACAAAGAAAATCTGCGTTTTGTTAAAACCTACGAAATGAGAACAGTTTTATTTAAAGAAATTTTATTATACTTTGTTATACTTTTACAAATTAAAAAAAAATCTTTAATCAGGATGGAGTCAATAATTGAATAGTAATAAATAAATAATAATTATATTTTAATGAAATAAAAATAATTTTTTTTCTTATTATCAATTTTTGTTACGAGACTTGCTACTCAGGCATTCAATTCTCTAGCTTATGAAGAGAATTGCTATTTATATCGAAGTGAATCTCGATTCATACTATCGGCGACGCTTTTATGCGGCTGGCATCTAAATCGCCGTTAAGAGCGATGCAACGCTCAGAAATATTTCGCCATCGTGAACAAGTAGGAAAAAAATCGCATCGACAAACATTTGTCGCATAATAATTCACTCGGCACGTCATCATATTATTTCTCGAGAAATAATTTCGCGACAGAATCGTCGATTAATTCACAATGTATCATCGATAAAAAATTGTTTACCATGATTTTCTCATGTCCTAGAATGTAAAAGAGTTTTAAAATAAAGTGAACTTAGAATCACATTATATATTCCAAGACCCATATTCTTTCAAAACTCTATATCTCTACAGTTTTATATAACAGTGATGAAACATAAGAAACGGGAAACAGTAAAGAGAAACTGATGATGAGTATAATTTTTTTACATTTTTTAAAAACCTCTCATACTAATATCTATTCTTAGAGCAATTTATACTGTAAGACAACCGTGCTCAAAATCAAAAGGCAGCGAAGGAAAGGGAGATGATCGTTAAATAATTCAGCGATTAAAGAGGCGGCCGACTCGCTGGTTTCAGGTCTGGTTCCAGAACAAGAGGAGCAAGGAGCGCAGGCTGAAGCAGCTGACGTCGATGGGCAGGAACCCCTTCTTCGGGGGCTCGCGCAAGATGCGCGGGTTCCCGCTGAATCTGAATCCAGGCGCCCTCGGAGGCGAGGATGGACCACCGCCCGGTTTCCCGTATTTTGGCCCGGACAAGTTCGAATTCGGTTACGGCGGTCCGGTGGCCTTCCATCACGAGTTCTTCGGCGCGCATCCACCCCCGCATCCGCACGGACCGCACTTTGCCGGTACGGGAAATCCAGGTGAATCTCCTGCCATCACCGATGATTTAGCATCTTTTATAGTAAAACTAAAATAAATTCTAGTCTTGCGTTTAAGACATGAAAAAATGCAAGATTAGAATCGATGTGGAAATTTGGAAAATATCAAAGATCTCTTGTTATGTTAATATTTCATCAATTCTTTGTGTTTTCTAAAATCGAATTTCTGCATAGAATTCCTATTAATCACTATTTTATTAATCACGCGGCTTTTGTCTCGATCACAAAAACTTGAAGTAAAAAACGGCCGATCTCTACGAAAGACGGAGCCCGGAGAGAGAGCCTAGTCCCGGAATCTCGCGTAATTATAATAAACCTCGAATCAAGTAGGTAGGCCCCCGCGATAATTATGACAGCCGGTTTCGGAGATGGCCGAGCGGATACGAGATCCCCTCTGAGAGCAGTACGTAATCTGTTTCTGACAGGCTTGGACCCGGCCAGTTTAGCGGGCATGGCAGCCGCAGTGGCGGTGGCAGGGGAATACCCACCTCCGGGCGCGGGGGGCGGCCCTCCGGAATTTCTCACGGGGCCCCCCGGACAGGGGCCCCCTGCGCCCACCGGCGGCAGCCCCGGAGAGTTCCTGGCACCTTCAGGTAAGAGGGAAATATCCCCTCCGAACCATTACCACCGAAAATCGGCCGAATCGCGATCGCCGATCTACCTTGGGTCTGCCCGCGAGCGGACTTTATGTTTGCGCTCGCGCCGATTTATTAGTGTTGTTTTCGCGATGCGGCGGCAACCATTAACTCGTAAGCGCTTGAAGGAGATCGACCTGCTTCTCGCACCAAAGAATAATATTCCGCACGGATCGTTTCTTTACAGACGTCGAGTAACTTTTTTCCTCCGAGAGAGAATTAAACATCTATATCTTAATATATTAATTTTTTAATTTAAATGTATATTGATGTCTGTCTTAATTATTTTTCTCAATTTGATTTCCAATGGTACGCACAAATCAGTAGTCGAGAAAGAGATTATATAATGTTTCACTTTGTCTGTTTCGTGACGATTATATTCGTGACGATTTATTATACACATCTCTGTTGCCGTGTCGTGTTAATTAGGAACGCTTTTAGTCTCGCGATATCGAATCGAAACTGTTTCACGCTATTCAACATTTCACGTTGAAATGAAAATTATACGTTGCTGTTAACCTTTCGCACGCGGTCATCATTTTTATCGTGCAGCATCGCGCTTATTATTCACGTACCTTCGCAATGTTATTTCGTGCACGAAAGACATGCGCGCGCGAGAGATTTCTAGTCGACTAGGATTTTCTACAACAAAATTGCATTACAGCAGCGTGAATGTCATTTTCTTTTGAGCCTGTCGTATGGATAATTGAGATCTGGCAATCACCTGGCGTGACCTTTTGTGATACGTCTAATACTAAATTCACGTTTTCTAACGCGCGTTAGATACGCATATGTGTCTTATCCGACTGTCACCCGCGTATCAATCAAGTCACACATATGTGAGTTATTAATTCGTCGGGGAAAGTGCAGTTAGTGATAGTCGAATTAGTACTTGTAAAGCAGCGTTTAATGTAACTAACGTGGCTCCTGGCAGCCTGAAATCAACTTTGAAATTTTCGCAAAACATTGGGTACTTTTATCGTACTCGTTAAAATATATGACAGCAAAATGTTACGTTATATAAAATGTCTGTAAAAAACAATCCCAAGCGGAACAAAAAGTTATCAAGATTACATGAAAATGGCGTCGAAATGCGTTCAAAATGATTATTAAAAGTCATTTTACGATCACTCATGATTTATTTTTACATCATTTTGACGTTATCATAACTTATTATTCTGCTTGAGAACGGTATAATATTCGATTAAAATAAAAATTAAAATAATTTCGTCTTCAAAAATAAATCAAGTATATATAAGATGTCTACATAATTAGATATAATTCACAAACAATTGGAATTTATTCATCAATGAAATTAACTGCAAACTTTTCGTTTTTAGATTTTGAGTCCTCAATTGAAACGTTTGCGGTTAACTTCTAAAATCTAAACAACTTAATTAACTGATAAGTACATTTCAATTGTTTGCGAATTATATTTTATTGCCTAATATATATATTATTTATCAATAACTATGGAAGGTCATATAAACATTTATACTTACATCTAATATTTGAATTTTAAAACTATCGATAAATTTAACATCAAATTGCTTTGAATTATTTCAAATATTTGCGATCATTCGAGACTCTCAAGAATTTTAATATATTCAAGAATTTCGTGAATTCAGAAATAATTTGTATTATTTATCTATGATCGAATGAGTAATTTAAAAACTTTTAAAAACTAACTTCAGAACTAATCCAGACTTTCATTTGTTGTTTTTGTACGACGAATATGGCATGCATGCAATAGATAAGACAAAAAGATGAGCCGGTGGCAGTCGTTTTTATTTAAAAGCTACAACAACGATGAGATATATATATATATATATATACAT